GCTGCAGGTGTGGATCTGCTCCAGCGTGGGTGGGCCTCCATGGGCTGCTGGGGGACAGCCGGCCTCACCATGGGCTACACTACGGTCTGGTGGGGAATCTCTGCTTCGGAGCCTGGAGCTCTTCCTTCCCCTTCCTTCTGCACTGACCTTGGTGTCTGCAAGGGTGTTGCTCTCCCATATTCTCACTCTTCGGCTGCGGTTGAGCAGGTTTTTTTTCCCCCTTCTTAAATATATTAACCCAGAGGTGCTACCACTATTGCTGACAGGCTCAGCCGTGGTCAGCAGCAGGTCCATCTTGGAGCCAACTGGCATTGGCTCTATCAGACATAGGGGAAGCTTCTGGTGTCTTCTCATAGAAACCACCCCTGTAGCCCTCCTGCTACCAAAACCTTGCCATGCAAACCCAACACAGGGCTTTTCAGATTTGGGCTTGGGATATATGGCTGCTAGACTATATTTGTTCCAAACTTACAATTCATTAAAGAAAACCCAACCAGAAAAATAGAATGCCAAAAGAGTATCCCTTGTGAAAAAGGGAGTGCTTGTGTCATAAAATGTGCAGTAGATTGAGTATAGTAAATGATATAAAAAGAAGCACGAAGAAAATTGACTGAAATTGTTTGTATGAATGTAGCTAGAATGAATTTTGGAATTAAAATATCAATTAAATTCCTCCCACATAGTATTTAAGGTGTGGTGTCAGGTTCATCAGTAGGTTTAAATTTCCATTTATGTGGCTCTCTTACCTAGTTATCAGTAAAAAAATTTAAAGCACAAAAAGGAAGGACACTTATGGCCACACACTAGTTTCATGTTCTAGACCACATATATTAGAAAAATGTTCTGTTAATAGTTGTCTGTGCTTTGTGAGGACTAAATATCCATTATTATTGGTCAATACAGCTAAAAAAATTGATAAGTCAATATCCCCTTGGTATATACACTAACAACAAACTGATTCTTCTTCAACTTGCTTTTTCATCCTGATTAATTTACTGGTAACTTTGGCTGAACTGTAGCTAGAATTATGTTTATTTTGTTATTTCAAAATTTAAATGATTGGATAGCAGTGGGATGTTCGGTATTTTGGTATTGTATAGGATGTCATTTGAATTTTGAGTTAATTTACGTTGGCTTGTATCTGTGTGTGGAGTTCTAAAAGAGAACCAAAAACTACATTAAGCCAACTAAGAATAGAAGCTGTGATTCAAAAGGCTCTGAGATTAGTTGAAATTGTTACATTAGGAGAGTAATGACTATGTCTAAATGAAATTAAAAAAAGGAGAAGTGTTAGGCTATAGTTACTCATTAATCATCAAAATGAGTTTCCATTATGTAATTAGCCAGATCTAGAACAAGAACAAAATTTAAAATTATATATATGTCCTAATTTACAATGGATCACAGTGTGAAGTCTTTGCAGCCCCAAATGTAAGCTGTGCATTCAATCCTAATGTAGAATAGCATGGTGGTCTGCCAGATCATATTCTTCTGTTCTGACTGCCATGATTATGGATAGCCATTAATGACAAATCCATTTTGCAAACAAAATTTTCGAGGATTTCTAGATTGGGGG